AAATTCATACACATTTCATTCTAACAACTGCCTCACACCATGAAGGGTAGAACTTTTAAAATGTACATAAATAGGCTTTTACACAACATTGTTAGTGTTCAAAAGGCAAAACTTTTCAGCTTTACTTATGAAAGAAAGACCTAGGGAAACTCACCATAAAGTCTTCATCAACTTCTCCCCAAAGCTAGCAAGATTATCTTAGACAGACTTACACACACAGAATTAATTACCCTTGTTGGTATTTAAAGTTTTGTTTGTTTAATTGGGTTAAACGTCACACCAACACATTATAGGTTATATGGCAACATTCCAGCTTTACTGGTGGAGGAAGACCTCAGGTGTCCCTCCATGCATTATTTAAGGCACAAACAGGCACCCGAGTAGAACCACCAACGCTCTGTAAGCTAAATGGAAATCTTCCTCGCATTAAAGAATCCTAAGTCCCTGTTGGGATTCAAACCCACAGCGGTGAGGGGCAAGTGGTTTGAAGTCAATGACCTTAATCACTCGGCCACGTACACCCCTGGTACTTAAAGTTATAGAATTGAGAGGCATACAAAATCAAGGTCACAAGCTGTAACCATTTATACATAATTCTCAATAAATTGAACCTAGGAGAAATGCATCTTTTTCCTGGTCATTTCTATACTTTTTGACTTAGACAAATTAACCCATTACACATAGAACTTCACTGACTCATATATTCTTTTTGATAATAGTCTGCGTAATTAAGTTAGCTAGGAATTTTACGATGTAAAATATCAAGGAAAGTTTTATTTTATGAGCAGTGTGTAAGAAATATAAACCTTTCAACAAAAAAGGCAAAGGCAGTGAATTACAGTAGTATAGAATTAAAGCTTACTAACCCTTCACTAAATGGGGTAACATTTGATACTGTGTACACAACTGCTGATGATTCAAAAACGTTTTCTGCCTGAACCTCAGATCTACATGGTGTACGACATCTCCGCCTTGCCCTCCTTCACTTTTTTACCCTCCGTCACATATTCAGAGTCTCCGTCAAACATTTTGCAATATCTTCTTTGGCTGTAAAAATATCATTAGTGATATTTAAATCTTTGACGAATGACATTTAAAAAAGGAATCTATTGACATGGAACAAAAGATAACATTTAACCACATAAAGCAATTGCAAAGAGTCAATCTTCAAAATACTTAAAAATCTTAAACTGAAATGAACTGTCAATAACTTGAATATATGGTAAAATCCTGTCCATCTCAATCAAAAAATTTAATTTAGAATGAACCAATACTTTTCTAAGAATGTCAGCCCCATATGGTTTTAAAAGCGAAGAAACTCTAGATACAGGTAAAGAAATGGATCACTGTTATTTATTTTCTTGCAACATTAAAGTTCATTCTGTTTTTCTATACAGCTTGATCATAATATTTTCAACTGTGGTCATACCATGAATATGGTATGTAACATATTACCAGAATACAAGTACTAGCAGCAAAATATTGCTATGAACATGCCAATTTGTGTATTGTCTCTTACAAAATCACGGGACGCTTTATTTTTATGGAATTGTTTGCCTTATCGTCAAGCCTCTAGTGCACCAGATCTAGTCCAAGCTTTATCCATATTTTCAAGAATAATACTGTTGACAACCTGTATTTTTGTTTTCTGTTTGATCATATTAATCTTTAGCTCCATTTTGAGACCAATTTTAGCTTATATGTTTTTGGTAGCAAGTGACATCACAAGTACTGGGTTGCGCTCCCCTATTCTATTTAAGCTACTACTCAGTTGGGCATTAAGTTCGGTACCAAGCAGACATAAGAAATGTACTCCTATCAGGAGGTTACTATTAACCTGTCACTGAAATGGGATCCTTATACAATTTTATATAACTCTTAAGTTGGTATTATGAACTTAACTTGAATCCATTTTTAGAACTTGACCCAATCTGGAACTTGACTGGATTCTAACTTGACCCAATCTAGTAAATCTATAACTAACTATACTTGGAACTCGGATATTTTACCATAGTACTAGATCTACATATATATGTTTCTCTAATAAGCTCAGTTGTTTACTATAGAACAATCTGGTTAAAGCCAGATTATCTCATATTGCATGTCAATAATTCATGAATAAACTATGAAGAACCAATAATAAAATCATAGATTGAACTGGAACATGTCTTGTTAATCTCTCAGTAGGTAGAACCAAATCTAACTCCCACATATTACTGTCCCCTTATTAATGCCTGGCATATTTAAATCCTGACTAGCCTTAAGCTAACACCCTTTTCTCACTTTTAAGGGGGCGTAACAATATCCTGCTATTGGTACCCTTAAATATAGCATATTCTGCAAGGTATGGCCACAATGATTTTACACCATGGTAACGTTATGGTTATACAATGAATGTTAAATGCTGCTAGGCAAGTTTTGAGATTAATCCCATAGACTCCCAAGAGACCTTGTGGTATATATAATTGTGCTATTGTCTTTAAATTTTCATCCTGAATTAATTCAAAGATTACTAGGCAGTAGTATTGATCCACTGTCCTTGACTTTAGAAAAGAATTATATAATTCATTATTGAGTCTACACTTAAAGGTTATATCTGTTCTTTCACATTTGAATGGAGCTGATATACTTAATAAGTTATAGCTTTCCATACACATAATATGTTCTAAGTTGTTAAATTCTTAAAGGACCTCCACTGAGACTTTTTGACATGACTGGACTGGAAAAAGTTTTTCAAAATTGTTTCATCTGATTAAGGTCTAGACTAATCTCTTGTGTGCAAAATTTCACATCATTTGCTGACTGGTTTTTCAGAATAAATTTCTTAATTGTAAAGAATAACTAAAATTTGAAACCGTTACAACGCTTTTCACTCAAATCAGGCTAAGAATAACAAAAATACAATTTTCAAATTATTTCTTTTTTATTTATCTTTATTATCTTTTGCATATCTTTCTGTTTTTAATGTCCCAGTTAATCCATGTAAGATATTCATATTTTAAGCCTCAGTGGAGTTCCTTTAATAGGTACTTTTTTATTTTGATAACAAGTATTGCTAACATTTGATAACAAAAATGCATTCATTCAAACCTGTGCATTATTAATGGTGGCTTGCTCAAAGATTTCCAGTACAGCATCAAGATCCAGACTTGATTTGATCACATTCGCCTTGCATGTATAAAAACGTGCTGAGTTCTGTGCAAATGGTATTTGCTTGTATATGTCATCCAGCCATGGTACGATAGCTTCCATAGGGCAACCCTATAAAATCATAAAAAATTCTTAATAAGTTTCCAGTAATCTATTGTAGAACTATAAAACTTAATATATGCAGGCTGTCAACCAGGTCTTATCCAAAATATAGGAGGAATATAGGAATATTTTAGCAGGAAATATAGGAGTTTTTGGACCATTTTGAGGCAAAAAATAGGAGTTTTCAACTTAAATTGTTTAACTTACCAATGCTTATATAAATGTAAATTATTCTTACCTTTACACATACTGTTTCTACAATAAAATGTCTACTAGGTTTTCTTAATTGGACAAAAATCATAATTGATCATCGAAAATAATCAAACAACCCTTTTCAATCAATCATCGATTATATAATCGAAACATTTACAATAACAATGTACATATCATACTTTAATATTTATAAGAATTCCATTAATATTCTATATTTTGTGTAACTACCACTTAATTAACAGAAATAAATTAGTTACTCATGCTATGTTCATCCTTGAGTAAAATATTTAAATCAAATAAATTCATTACATCTATGAAATTATTATGTCTCAATTCGAGTAAAGGAATGAATAAACTATGTATGGGAACAAGAGAAGTTGGTCATTTCTTAACAAAACTGCCAGTTTTTTTTTAATGACACTATATATTGATATTGTAACTTTAGTTTGTAGAATAATTTTATACACAAAATATCTTCTTTGTTTGAAGTCAAAACATGTTTATTTCATTTTTACAAATAGACTGTGAAGCAACTTTCTAATGTTAAATTGGAGCATAATATGTCTTAAAACTAGAATGCCCCACTGTCAGTTATTAACCTCATGGTCACCAGTATGCTTTCCATTCATTTTAATGAAAATTATTGGGTCAATCAAAGCTGGCTTTAATTTAGAGTGTTGTTACTTTAGGTATAAGCACCCTAATGGGCACTACCAGGAACTAAAAAAATTGACATCATAGGTCAGATGTATACCTTAAAGTAATTTAACCAAAGTTAACAGTACGGAAATCAAGTTATGGCCACTTTTCTGAACTCAAGCTAGGATGTTATGAGGGCCCTTTTTTAGAAATGAGGAACCTTTAAATAATCTGCAATGACATTCTAATGAAAAAAGTTTTCCCATTAATTTTTGTTAAGAAACAAACAGTACCATTCAGCTAACAATCCACATAAGCAAAATTATGGTTTCTACTTAAAATTTATGAAATCTGTATAAAAATGTTACCCTACCCCACCCATTTTTACAACATGTCTGACCATTTTTCTACTTAGGGAGCCTTATTTAAAAAATTCTTAAAATTTACCCAAATGAGTGCCTGTTTTCAAAGTTTCCCTATATTTATAAAAAGGTATATTGGTTGATCTTGTAAAATATGAAATACTTTTACCGTCTAGTTTTGATTATATTACACTTTGAAAATATCAGGTACCATATTTATTACTAGATTTAGCATAATTTAGCCAATAAATACCTATATAAATTAAAAAATCAAAATTAAATACTTTTTTCTTTTCAAATGGGACATGAGAGATACATAAATAATGTTAAAAGAAAAAAATAAAGAAAAAAAATTATACCGACTAATACTTTTCTCTTCAAATGCAAACTGTCTGACACAAATTTGTGCGATTTTTGTCATAATAGCATTGAAAATATTGACCACCTCTTCTGGGAATGTACGAAAATACAAACTATTTTGTCAATGCTACACACATGGCTAAACTCAATTGGAATTATGTTTAATCTTTCGAAAGAAATATTATTCTTTGGAGAACTTAAAATTAATCTGCATAGTAACATGATTAATTTCATTCTCATTCTAATGAAATATTACATTTTAAGACAAAATATCAAAAATATACACCAAGTTTTGAAATATTTTAGAAAAATGTTTATACAGTAGAATACAAATAGAAGAACAAATTGCTTTATCTAAAGATAAATTGGAAGCGCATAAGACAAAATGGAATATCCTCTGTAATATAAGAATTGTGGATTAAATCAATTGTAAAACAATGCAAAAACCATATCTATAAAAAAAACTAATAAGATTTGTATAAATCACTATATAAAAAGGGACAAAAACATTTTTTGTGCATGAGAGAGCGTGTGTGAGTGCCTGTGTATGTATGTGTTATATGCTGTGTGTGCGTGTGTGCGAATATGTGTGAGTATGTGTTATGTGTATTTGTGTATGTATCTGTGTGAGATTGTTTTGTGTGTATGTTTTACATTACTGTTAGAATTGAATAATTATTATAATGGAATATATTATGTTGAATACATGTAACAACAGTATGTTAACTGGAATGTTTTTTGTAATTCATATATGAAAGAACATAATAAATGAAAAAAAAAAAAAAAAATTTACCCAAATGAGTGCCTGTTTTCAAAGTTTCCCTATATTTATAAAAAGGTATATTGGTTGATCTTGTAAAATATGAAATACTTTTACCGTCTAGTTTTGATTATATTACACTTTGAAAATATCAGGTACCATATTTATTACTAGATTTAGCATAATTTAGCCAATAAATACCTATATAAATTAAAAAATCAAAATTAAATACTTTTTTCTTTTCAAATGGGACATGAGAGATACATAAATAATGTTAAAAGAAAAAAATAAAGAAAAAAAAAGTTGACCCTTCTGGGGATTGAACCCATGCCCCTTATTTTCAATGTAGTTAACAGTAAATCTAGCCTATTTGAATACTTTTCAAAGCGGAGGTAATGCATTAGGATGCTAATACCTTAAGTAACAGCAAGAAGATAAATAACCGATAATCGATTAGTGAACTTTGTATTCGATCATCGCGGATCAGTCCTATAAACCATCAATTATACTTGATCATCGTTTGATCCCTAATGTCTACCGTATAAGTGACGGACACCATTTGCTTTGAACCACAGCATCAGCATCCCGGCAGAAAGTTACAGCAATGCATGACCATCATCTGAATGGTCACCTGAAATAAAGTTGACATACTGATGTACTACTTTTCATGGTGACCATGCAGATGGCTATGAGGAGCACAGCAGCCTAGAGCATAGTGATGTGATGCTGATGCAGGCAAAGACATTCTCTTCCCTGTAAAATACAAAAGGCCAAAAGCAGTACAAAAATTTAAACCTCTTTGAATTCCTCGACAATATATTTTAAAAAAATATAGGAAAAATATTCAAAATATAGGAGAATATAGGAAAAATAGGAGGTTTTTTACAATATAGGATTCCGACCCAAAATATAGGAGTTTTATAGGAATATAGGAATTGGTTGACAGCCTGTATATGTGAAGAAAGTTCCTAGAGAAAAATGCTCACAAGAGAGCTAATGGTGGTCTTTTTATGAACATCAGGGTGAAAAGTGGAACTTTTTTTTCTATTTCATGCTCATTCAGACATGTGTTCAACAAAAATATGTTTTTGATTTTAGCATATAAATTGAGATTAAAAAATAAAACTATTCATAAAAAGTTTCCCAGATATGACATCAAAGTATAATATATAACAATAATTTACTCACAGCTTCAAACAGTATCATACATTCATCAAGCATAGAGTTCATCTTTTTTTCAGCTTCTAACTGCAGTCTCTCCTGTTCCAGAACATCCATCTATTGATATAATAATAATTATCATAATGAAGTAAACACTCAAGTGTCATACATATATCTGTCATTGTTTTATATTATGAATTTTTTTTTTAGATTTTGTAATGGTTAAGTTAGCCAGACATTGTTACAGTTGGTTTTTATCTGTAGCATAATACATAATGGGACAAGCAATTGGTTATCATTTTGAAAGGGTTGTCTTTTTTTTGGTCCATAGTACACAGTATAAATAATTGATATATATAAAACAACAGACATAAGACTTTTACAGTCCTTTTGTATTTAAATGGTCTGAACATGTTATGAAAATTAATTTATGCTATTTTTATGAAATATCAACAACAATATATGGTTTTAAATTTAACACCTCACTTATTGATCACCCAGCTGTCAATTTAAAGCCAACACAAAACCATATACAGTCAGTAGTTGTTTGTATTGTTACAATATGTCCCAGCTTTTACTCACTAAAATATATCTGTGTGGCTCTTCTGTGCCACAGTTCCTTAAGACTTTCATATTCACCCTGCCACAGGCAGTCCTTAAAGGTACTCTACTAAAGTTTTTTGCCATCACAGGATTGAACATATTTTTCTGAGATTTGTGTACCATTTGAAGTTGGTCTAGACCAATGATTTATGTGCAAAATTTCAAATCATTTCGTTAACTTTGATTGGTTTTTGTAAAAATTGAATTTAAACACATTTTATGATTCAGATTGACGCAGATGCCAAAATTTGTGTTAGAATAATAAAAGTGACTGAGAAATGGCAAGGGCAGAGCAACTGTAATGGTCTGACCCCTGACTGTCTGTGGTTTTAAACATCTTGTCAAATAAACAAATTCAAACCTGTTCACTCAATTCTTGTACAGTGAGCATGTTTTTAGTGTGTGGATCTTCTGACTTCTCGTCATCTGGTTTTTTACCATGGAAACACATGAGATGTCGGAACTTACTTGGGGTCTTCCCTTTTGCTTTCAGCCAGTCCTTCAACTCTTCACTAAAATGTAATAACAGCATTAAAAATTAACAAGAACTCCACATGCAGTGTTAATGTTCGTCTGCTAAAAATTCCAAGTTAAAATGGGGCATAACTACAAAAATATTGTTTTCAGAATTATGCCCTTTGTCTAACAACTGCATCAAATACCAGTGGCAAATTTGTTGGTTTTACATTTAAAACTGAATCATATAAATTTATCTCATTAACAAAGTGTATTAGCAATTTCTCTCAAAGCTACATCACTAATAAATGAAAATATTACATCTTGTGTTCACTGAAAGAATATATCTCTCATAAAATATCCTCTCACTAATATTTTCAAACCGTGATTAAGACACATGAGTGTCAAAAACATCAGTTAAAATCAATAAACAAACCTTAAAACTTAATCTGTGTTGATTGTTTTGTCCACTTTATTAATATTGTACAGTATCCTCTTAAAATGATTCAAAATTTATTTAATACAGATACATGTACAGCTATATTTGAAAGATAAATCAGGAAAACATCTTTATATAATTATAAATAAATTTAGAAAATAAACATAGTAACCTTCTTGTTGCTGGTGTTTTGGGGGTTTTCCTCAGCTCTTTTCCATCAGTATGAGAATGGTTGTTTTGTGGTGTAGAAAATCTCACATTACGTGTAGAAACCCCTGGGGTTACCACAGATATGGGCAACTGTTTACATGTGGTGTCACTCTCAGTTTGAGATGGAGACACATTTCCCACAAACACATCATCATTATTGTCTATGGTATTATTATTATCTGTATTAGAAACTGAAGTACGTCTTCTTTTGGCAGGAGATCTACCATCATTTTTGTCTGTAAGATCAAATGATCCAATGCATGACTTTCTTTTAAGAATTCCCACTGGTTTTTGTTGTCCTTTATTAACTTTTTGTACTTCAGAGAATCGTCTTTTGACCCCTGTTTTGGAAATTTCTGTCTTGTGTGTTGTAGGTTTTGAAACAAATTTGTTTTCTTTGTTAACTTGTCTTTTATCTGTGCTGCTCTGTTGTTTGGGTTTAGACTGATAGTCAAATAACCTTGATCTCACGACCTTACATCCTGCTTGTACATGAGACATTGGCACTTCTTTCCCTTTAACAGTAGTATTTTTCTGGATTCTGTTGACAAAAATTTAACAATGCACACAAAAAATATGACACTACAATTATGAGTCAAGACATTTTGTTATATAACCAACATCATGATTAAATTACCTAAAATTTGTACTTATTTTGTACTAAAAGGTTAGGTTCTGTACACTTCTACTTTGCCATTGTATGAAGATCACTTCTGTACTTTTCTTCTTTGCCACTGCATACAAAACCTCAGTACAAGGCACTGGTGGCTGGAATAAAGCAAACTTTACCTGTCCTGCTGGATGCCTTGCTGGTGGTCCTGTGTTGGGGGATATGTTCAATAAATGCCACACCCTTCCTTGTTGATCTTGTTTGTCATATTTTAACAACTTTAAGATTCATTGCCTAGTAAAAGGTGTCTATTTAGATGGAATACTTGTAAAATATAGGTGCTCACAACAAAATATTTCATTACAATGACAAACTATACAGTACTTACATTTTCTTTGCACTTTTCTTTTCTTCTCGCCATTTATTCAATTTTTCCCTGAAACACAAAAAGAATCATCAAAATCAAGTTATTATGAACAAGAGATGTTTGCGAAACATGTTAACCCACCTACTGGAAACAAAATTGTCAAATTCATCATAGACTTTTCTTAATTGGAATTTTTAGATAAGGAAAGTGAGTTAACATGGTAATATTGACCTTGATATTTTGTCCTCATTATAATGCACTGGTGAATATTAGCACCATTTACCATACATGACTTATGTTTACGTACAAAGACCTGCTTAATTCAGTAATTTGAGTAAATAGGAGGTCAGCCAATAAATCATCATGTAAATTAAATCATAGAACTGTAGGTCTAAGCGTTCTTAAGTTATTGGTCAAACTTTTAGTGAGGAACTTTTCATTAATTTTATCTAGGTGAGAAATATGATCCAGTGATTTCAGGACTATGAAATAATTGAACCACATCATCATGGTCTGAAATAATCCTTACGGCCCTTAAAACTGATATACAAAACAACATGTTATCAAGACAAATTAGTTTACTACCTAAAATGGCTTCACACTTAATGTCAAAGTTCAGAAATTAACAATATTGAACCTACAATGAAAACATAAATGAAGAAAACAGAAACACACTAAATATACTAACATCAGCTGCCTAGTTTCTTCAGATTTTCTTCTCTTCTCCACTTTTGCAGCCACTTTCGGCACTTTTGTCTTTGTTCCAAATATTCTGAATTAGAAGAACAGCATTTTCTGCATATACATTAAAAAAATGTTTTTTAGAAAATAGATAAAATTTATTACACTATAATTTAAAAATATAAGATTAAGGACTTTCAAATTTGCACACAGCACAATGTTAAATATTTATGCCAAGTTAAATAACAATCCCTATTTGTATAAATAATAAAGCTTCACTATAGGCAAGTGTTTCCTTCTAACCTCTGCGAAATATATTGTTCTATTATGCAGTCTTATGATGTGAACATTTTTTCTATAATCCCTCAATCAAAGACTACAAATTTCAGACTACAGTTTCATGTTGTTGTTTTTTTTCCTGGCCTATAACCTCTAAAAAAAGTATGACCTTGACCACGAGGACCTGAATTTTGCTTGCAACACACCAACTTACAATGGTGAAATTTGTCCAAGAGTAAATTAAAATCACTCAATGCAACACAAGTAAAAGTTAAACTCATGGCAAACATTTTCCTTTGACCTCTAAATGTGACAAACAGACATTTGATTGAACTTTGACCTAGGGAACAGTTTTGTATGAATGGGATACTTTGTCTCATGGTTTTGCACATTTGAGGCCATTAATATTTGAATCTTTTCCATGCATGTTGAAGATATTCTCTTGACAAAGCTGGAAGCTGCTAGGATGCCTCCCTTCAGCCCACCTGCCTGCAACCAAGGGTTATCCTATTACACAACCACAATTTTTAATGAGCATATAAAAAGGGGGAGGGACTTAGACTGCAACAAAGCCACATACTTTATTGAATTCTTAATTTAATAGCAATTTATTAAACATGCAAGATACATAGCAGAGGCTATCTATAGTAACAGCTTTTTTACTTTCAGTTCACTTTCACTTAATTTATCAAAGCTGATCTTAGCTGCAATTTTGGTTTAGTCATCATGGTTATGGTGACAAAATGGGGCAAGGCATTTAAGAGGAAAATACAGCTTGGAAACCATATATTTGGCTATTATATATTTTCAAAATGTCACTGATTATCATACAGTTCATACAGTTACAGTACTGAATATTTTGCCAGAGACACACATTATAACTTCACTCAACTTTAAGTCAAACAGGAGGAGGAAAGAGCACATGTTGAGCATCAACTTATTGATACATGGAACCTATAGGCTATACTCATTTAATATCTTCTAAATCATAAATATTGGATTGAATACTTAAATCACAATTTCTTTTTATTTATTAATTTATTATGACACTTTATTTAAATGATCAAGTCTTGTTCTCTACATCTACATTATACTGCTTCAAAATCGTAATTGATTACACTAAGCAGGTGCGTTGTCTGGGAATAGCTGTTAAAAATAAATATGTTAAGTGCAAATTTATAGACACAAGGTAAAAGGAAGTTAAAAAGAACTACAAGACTAAGATAAAAGTTAAAAACAAAGCTGGCTTAGAACTGGTAAAAAGGATGCATCTGCCCAGTAAAGAGGTCTTAACTGGGACTAGCTTCAGTAGCTTGAAAGGACACGGGCAGGCCATTGTTGCACTGTAAGTTCTGTAATCTATTTTTGGCATTTGAATGGTTGTTACTCAACCAATTCATTGAAAATAAAGTAAGCTTAAATACCCAGTTTTTATCTGTGTATCTGTACTTTTGCATGACTGTTTGGGTCTCTCTATGGTTGTTACACATGGCTTAACAGTTTTTACACATGGCTTAATTGTTGCTTTAACCGGGCTCTGCTTCACTTGACTTGCTTTCACTTGACCTGCTTTAACAATAACAGGCAATGTTGTTTCTTTCTTAGACCTGAAATAACAAGCAAATTTGTTGAACTGACATTCCCCTGCCGTTATGATACATATCACTTAACTGAAGCCTTTCAGGGATCTGAGGTACAATGTCTGTATTGAATTATTTTTGCAGTATTAAATTACTAATAAAATACTGTTACATTCATATTTTTGATGATTTTTATAAAAAAAACTTATAAAATGGAAAATAACATTTAGACAAATTTTAAAGAAAATGTTACGATTTAAATTTAGGTCACTCACATATGGGTAGGGGTTGCAGTGAATTGTTAAAAAAAAGTATACTGTGCTCCTCTTTGTTTACATTACTTAAGGCTCTGAAACATTTAAAGAAAGAAGATCATAATTTATAAAATTGAAATTATTATATCTGTAATTTCTTTCAAAGAGCTCGCTTTGAGGCTGTGCATTATTCATATTAAAAATGATTTTATTATTAAAATGTGATTTATATTTATGTTCTTATTGTACCTGAAAGGGAATTCAACAATAAACTACAGGTAGACACTGGAAAATTAACTTATATTTTTTTCAAATATTGTTTTGAAAATTTGTGTTTACATTTTGGAGTCTGCAATCTTTACTTTTGTCACACTTGATGGTATTTGACTATTGATGGTATACAAGTAACATAATCACAGATATATATATAATGGATACAGTGTTTTTTTTCACTTTTGGGGGAAGGGGGTTGGTGCCCTTTGGAGGGGGAAAATTGCAAAAGGAGGGGGAATTTTATTTGTTTATTTATTTCATATTGTTTTCTTTCCGGTTGAAAAGGGGAGCAACTCTTGCAACACAAGTTTAAGACACGTCGCTTTTTTTTAATATACATATCTAAAATATCAATGCGTCGCTTGTTTAACTTGTTTTGGCGCCAGGAGTAGTTTCTCTTACCTACCCAAAATCGATTTGTAAACAACCTTGCTTAACAGTAAGTCTTACAGGCATAAAATAAAACATTTTTCGGCAGTTAGTTGCAAAAAAAGAATAATATTCATTGCAAACAGATTCGGGCTGCCTTATAAGGGTGTAACGGTTTTCCGGTATACTGATAAATCGGAATATGAAAAAATAAACTTCGTACCGCGGTAAGATTTTTGGAAAACCGGTACTAAATCATAATTTGCAATTAATTGCCTTTCTAATTTCGTACAAATTTCGCATAAAATCTTTAATTCGCGAATTTTATTAGCGGCAACATAAGATAAAAATATCCGACCCAGAGGTGACTAGTTTTGTTTATCAAATTGTGTGACACTTTACTTTCTATTAATTCATTATATTTTTATTAAGTTTCTACTAAGAATATATACATATAATAATCATATATACTTTAACTCCATCTTTACATCAAAACATATACACAACAATGTGTATTGCAATATATTGCAATATGCTTCGGCAAAATGGCAATATATTGCAATATGGTTTTTGCAGTATTGTTACACCCCTACTGCCTTATAGGGGGAAATTTAAGCTTTGAGCGGGGAAAAAACATAGTATTTTAAGGGGGGAATGGGGCCGAATTTCGCCGAATATGTTGGTGAAAAAAACATTGGGACAGGAAGCTCCGAGAATAAGACGATAGTCAGATTCAGACCCACAATTCTTTGCTCACTTCTGTGACAATCGGGTTTTCAGAAAACGCTTGTCTCTAATTTTCGCGCTATCATTAAACTTTGGCGATATCCGTGAATTATTATCTTATTATATTGTCATCATGGACATGGAGCTTATATGTATCTATATATCTGTGACATGTAGAGCTGTCATCGATATCGACAATATCGATGTATCATTGATATTTTTTTGCCGATCAATAATCGATACACATTCTAAAAAATCGATACTTTCGACTAATAAATTAAATGTCTAGAAATTATAAAATTCACCCAAAATATATACAGAAGCAGTTATTTATATCTAATGTTATGCTTTTGTTATATAGTGGAATTATTTCATAGCAATGGTGACAAAAAATATTTTCTAGAAAAAATCATGCAGTGGACAAGACACTGTACAGAACATGTTTTTGACTGAAATCATTGAAACAGGTATGAAAGTGAATGACAGACAAGTGAGTATAGGATATTATCGATATATCGGTGTATCGTTGATTTTAGTCACTTGATATCGATATATCGTTGATATGCTTTGCACTGAATCAATGACAGCTCTAGTGACATGGCAGTGTTCCCACTTCTTTTTTTCATTGGGGGTGTTTTTACCCCTTACCTTTGAGAACTGGGGGTAAATTAAAAATTCAGGGGGTACATAAATTTGTACAATATTTGTTTTCTTCAAGATATTCACTCCTCCCCCCCCCTCCCCCCCCCCCCCTATAATTCATTGTGACCAACACATACTGGCATATATCTCCATCTCAATTTATATAACCATTTTTTGAGTTATTTAAATTCATGAACAGCATATAAATTGTTACTACACACCTTTGAACAAAACAAAGCTTCCCTTTTGTTGATGTTTTTAATTAACAAAATCGGCATCGCGAAAATATGTGACAAATGAAAATTCGTCAGTTTTCTGCAGAAACATTCACAATTCCCGTTGTTGCTGATTACCATTATATCACAATTAATGTTTTTTTTATATATTGAGACTGTTTTTCATCGGCTATTCTTACAGGCATCGTAAAACAAAAATTACAAATTTGTAATTTACGGCAATAATTCCCAGTGGGGGTCTGTAAACTTCATTGTGAATTCGGAGAGTTTCTCACAATTCATCAATTTCAATGCACTTTAAGTGATTTTTGTTTGAGAAATTGCTCAAAAGAATAATTTTTGAATTATACAAGATTAAGTTTCCGACTTTCTGTGCGTATTTTTACCCTCTTGCCTAAATTTCTGTACGTGAATTTTGTTATTTATGCGTAAAATACGCACATATGTGCGTAAATGGGAACACTGCATGGATTTTCATCATGGAAAAGTGTGTATTGTACCTGGGACATAAGATCCCAGATTGTACGTTTTAGAATAAATAACAATTGTTTCTTAATATATAACTTATAAGTAGACAAGAGCTGTCGATAGGACAGCAACGCTCGACTAATCTTAGTGCTTGATAGTAAAAAAAAATGCTTGATAAAGATACCTCCTCCTGTTTACAGGTTGGGGTAATGATGGTGAACAAGTGTGCAAAGTTTCAAAGCCATATGTCAATGGACTTTGAAAATATTTGAGGTATTACAAAAACTTTAACATAAATTCTAAGTCAAAAAAAGGGGCGTAATTCTGTCAAAATGCTTGATACAGTTACCTTCTCCCGTTTACAGGTTGGGGTTATGATGGTGAACAAGTGTGCAAAGTTTCAAAGCTGTATGTCAATGGACTTTGAAAATATTTGAACTATTACAAAAACTTTAACATAAGTGGTTACGCCGACGCAGACGCCGACGCTCGGGTGACTACTATAGCTCTACTTATTCTTATCGAATAGTCGAGCTAAAAATGCTTGGTCTTCTTGTCGATGTACCTCTGGGAATTCAATATGGCAATATTTTGGCTACTTTTACCCAGGATGCATCTTGGAAAATCTTACAACATATGATAACTTGGCTGAACAGGCCCTTCACATTCTGTTAATAATCTGATAATAGCTGAGGCAGTAAAGTGTGATTAAAAAAATCCAAACCAATATAAAAAGTTTTTTTGTATAGGTATGAATCTTTTTAATTGGACTTTACTGCTACTGATACAATTTGACAGAATTTCAAAGTCCTGTGTTTTGGTTTTAATTAAGTTAGCCTGGGACATAAGATAAGGGGACGGGAAACACAGCGATTAGCGCTCCTGTGTGTTTTCGTCCAATCGGGAATCAGCGCCGCCATTTTACAAATTTTGTTCAAGGCGGAGGAAATGTTCGTCAATCTTATGTCCCAGAGTTAGCTAGCAGTAGGTACTAGGTCCTCACTTAGCACTTACACACTTTTCTGTTTAATTTTCTGTCTTTCTTCCTTCTCTTTTATTCTCTGTTCTCTCCATTTCTGCACCTTTTCCAAATAGAGCTCTGCAAAGAGATGCATAACTGTTCACTAAACTGCTAAGTTATTTAAGTAAAATATTTTTGCTCGCGAATACATGTGACAAATATAAATTATAAAAATTATTTTTTTAGGGGATTGCCGCTTTCCAATTTTTTTAAGATGCTGAGAATTCCTACATAGGTTCATCCTTGTATAATTATCAAAAGGATCAATCATTGAGATTTTAATTACCTGCTTTAGTTTTCTCCATTTTTTTCAACTTTTGTTTTGTTTTGATTTTAGCGCCGATGTCATGTGACGAATTTGATTGGCCGTTTTCAAAAATTAAATGCGAAAGGGTTTTTAAAATGCGAAAGGGGTTTTTAAACGGAAAATATCATTTCATCTTTTGAAGCAAAGATAGGCCAACATTTAATAATTGTTCTAGAATATTGTACTGTAGAGGTAATATTAAATAATGATTAAACATGATACTGACACGTTTCATGTCAATCACACTATTTCTTTCCTTTTTTTCTTCTTTTTTTTTCAGATTCGGATCCACAAATGTGGAATCCCATTATTTATTATGCATAATCATACAAATATATAAAGAAAATCAGTAAAAAACTAAAAAAAGGAAACATGTGATATGATATTCAAATTTTCGCATTACATTAATAATATAATTTTGAAATGTGATGATATAAATATTCGTTAGGAGAACGTTGTAATACGGTGGTTCAGTAATTATATTATATGATATTTATAAACAGATGGTTTTGTGAGACAGTTTTTACATTCATTTATATACTGTTATTTTCTCATCCTTGTTACCAAAGTGCCACCAGCTAGAAAAACCTGAACGAAAAGTGTATACGAAAAACAGATTAGGTCTTCCCTTGGATTATGGTTTAGAAAATGAGTAAAAAGTATAATATGAAAGTATTATGTTATGTATAGTTCACATAATTAATAACATAGTAGGTAGAGTTATTAACACCATGGACAAGGATTATCTTAATTAAAATAAACCACAATACCATGTCTCCTAACGGAATAGTTTATCGACATATTTCGATTATCAGAGAATCTTTATATGTTTTAATACAATGACTGTCTCATAAAGAAGGATAACTACGATAATTTACCTAACATAAGTGTTAACAAATTTACTTCCCTTTGTTAGAAGAACAAAATTGCTTAGTTTTTCTTCCTAGTTCAAAATACACAATTACATATTACTCTACATAAAAAGATTTAAACAAATAATATTAAAATCATCCGGAACTGTCTCCGCCTACTCTATCGTAAGCCTGAACTCAACCAGAGCACGACCTGGGGCCTAGAAGCTTCAAAACGGTCTTCCTGCGGCAACGCGCGTTCCAGGCCGTGCCAGTTGCACTCCCAACCCTCGACCCCTATTTAAGGTCGGGAGTCAGGAGCACCCCCGCCTTCACAATGAGTCAAACATGTATGTGACATCAATCTCAAGATCAATATAATGTTGTATGTTGATGTAAAACAACATACATGTAATTGTTTGAAATTAAAGCATTTTTATTTGTTTGGGTCGTCAGACCAAATAAATAATGGTAGCGAAATTTCAGACTCTAATGCTGTTAATTGCAAGTGCCGAAAGTAGTCCGCTTTTTTGAAGCGGTTACTTCCCTTTATATGTAAACTAACGATGAAAAATTCAGGGGAGATCACTGCGTAAAGATGGTCAAATGACAGGCGCATTAATTTTCAAGCAAAATAATTCCCGAATGGTCGAAGATTTCTAATATTGTTTTATTCTTTATAGATATACATGCTTATAGTAAGCTCCATGATTATTTACATCTGTGTTAAACAACAGTTAGCGTCGTTACAAACCCTAATATAGAATAATATAGTTTTCTTCAGGCTATTACAAATGGATTTAGCTCAATACAGGATTGGAGCAGTACCTCTAGACGCTTGCAGAAATCATGATCACAAAATAGACAAATATCGTTTTTTTCGCCGAATTTTACATTTTTCCTTGATTATCGTATTTGATTCGGTGTGAAAAGATGAATTAGACCTGTTAAAGTTCATTCCGTTGGGTAAAAAGACAAGATTTTAGCATTTTATCATTCAAGCGCCTTGTCCGGTATATACCGGAATACGGTATTTAGTGTGGTGCTCCCATCCTTTTTTTAGTCACAGCCATTACAAATAACTTCACCGTGGCGCGCTCGCTTGGGAAGCGAGAGGTCTGGAGTTTGAATCCCAGTGAAGGCAACTCTTTTTTTTCTAATTGTTTAAGTCAAATAAACATTGGATTGAATATCAGTGTTTAAATTAGTCTTATAGCAAATTTACTACAATTAAAACGCTGGAAAGCATTGGCGGCACTTTACATAAACAAATTGGTTTATAATCTCACAACCTTCACTTTTCTGACATTCTGAGACCCAAACAAATTCAGCGCCTTCTGTGCTTTGATTTACCACGCGATTAGAGAGAGTAAATATCATCTGTATTGGAAGTGTAAAATATGTATGTATGTATGATGTACTGGTGGCCCGAAGCTTTTTATGCCCCCACAAAGTGGGAGCATATATCGTTGCACTTGTCCGTCCATCAGATTTTGCTTAAACTTCCAGGGATGAACAACCTAAATGTGTAGATGACAGTAAAGGAAGGAATTTTCGCTGCGACCAAATTTAACAGAATTATGGCCCTTTGTTGACTTTTTCACTATATAAGTATGTAGAAATTTTGTGAACGCAACTCCTCTTAAACCGGATGGCAGATTTTGCTTAAACTTCCAGGGATGAACAACCTTAATGTAAAGGAAGAAATTTTTGCTGCGACCAAATTTAACAGAATTATGGCCCTTTGTTGACTTTTTCACTATATAAGTATGTAGAAATTTTGTGAACGCAACTCCTCTTAAACCGGATGGCAGATTTTTCTTAAACTTCCAGGGATGAACAACCTTAATGTGTAGATGGCAGTAAAGGAAGGAATTTTCGCTGCGACCAAATTTAACAGAATTATGGCCCTTTGTTGATTTTTTCACTATATACTATGTAGAAATTTTGTGAACGCAACTCCTCTTAAACCGGATGGCAGATTTTGCTTAAACTTCCAGGGATGAACAACCTTAATGTAAAGGAAGAAATTTTTGCTGCGACCAAATTTAATAGAATTATGGCCCTTTGTTGATTTTTTCACTATATACTATGAAGAAATTTTGTGAACGCAACTCCTCTTAAACCGGATGACAGATTTTGCTTAAATTTCCAGGGATGAACAACCTTAATGTGTAGATGGTAGTAAAGGAAGGAATTTTCGCTGCGACTAGATTTAACAGAATTATGGCCCTTTGTTGATTTTTTCACTATATACCATATAGAAATTGTGTGAATTTAACTCCTCTTAAACCGGATGGCAGATTTTGCTTAAACTTCCAGGGGTGAACAACCTTAATGTGTAGATGGAAGTAAAGGAAGGAATTTTTGCTGCGAACCAAATTTAACAGAATTATGGCCCTTTGTTGATTTTTTCATTATATACCATATATATGTTGTCAGTGGGGGCATCCGTGTCCTTTGGACACAGTTCTAGTTTATGATGTGTCACCAAAATATATGTATTACATTATAATGAAAGAAGACAATGAGAAAAAACACTCTACATTCATATGACACCTCTCTGACTTTGGATGATATAGTTTATTATCATTTTTTTAACATTTAATTTCCATGTGTTTTAATGTGTAAGAATATATTCAGATAATTATTCAATTGGGAGCTTTAATATTGTAAGGAGATCATCTAATAATAAATTATCCCAGTTACTGGAAGGATATTGGATATACTTTTCTACTTTATAATAAAGAACTAACATATTATGAAAAGTTGTATATTGAAGTTTTGGTTATTATACCTACACGTGTAAATATATCTTTTTGCAATAAGAAAAATAAAATTTAATGTTTCATCCGTTTTCTTTGGATCAGTTATACCAAAAAGAACTTCTTCTTTTGAGAGTTCATAATCTGTAATATTCGGACATTTAGATTTAATGAATTTTTTAAAGTCTGCCAAAATTGACTAACATACCGGCATTTATAAAATATATGTAAAAGTGTTTCGTTATTTTCCCTACAAAAAGAACACATATTGTCATCTTTTATTCCAATCTTAGTTAAAAAAGTATTTGTTGCTAGGATTCTATTTATTATTTGTTGGAAGTACCTTAAGTTAGTATCTGACGTAATTTTGTGAACAGTTGTATAAACTTTTTTCCATTGGTTTCGGGTAATAATAGTTCATGTTTCCATTTATCTTGAGATGTTGTGTGTTATTTTATTGTTTACTAATATTTCATCAATATATGTTTTGTGTGATTACTTGAATTTGTTTGGGAATGATTGGTTTCATTCAAGGTATTAAAGTATTAAATGAGCCGTGTCACGACAGAACCAACGTAATGCGTTTGCGACCAGCATGGGTCCAGACCAGCCTGTGCATCCGCGCAGTCTGATCAGGATCCATGCTGTTCGCTATCAGTTTCTCTACTTGTTAAAGGGTTTGTAAGCCAACAGCATGGATCCTGATCAGACTGCGCGGATGCGCAGGCTGGTCTGGATCCATGCTGGTGGCAAACGCATAACGTTGGTTTTATCGTTACGCGGCTCAAATAGTTCAGTAAATATTTCAAGTTTAACTCTAATATTTGTTAGGAATCTTAAAAGTCCATCCTATTGCAGGAAATTTATGTTTATTTGTAGAATATTTTGTATAGATTGTAAACTATGAAATTGACCATAATAATCTATCAAATCAGCAACAAATATAATACCTTTTTGAAACAAATTATTATAAAAAATGTCGTTGAGCCTCCGACCTTCACTGTTGGATTGATATATACTACCCAATAAGTTATTTGAACTTTCGGATAAAATATAGTCCATGATAAGAAAACATCTTTCCAAAAGGGGTTACCGATTCTATGTAACTGTTTTTTTTTATAAAATCAGGATCCAATTTTGAAAATTTATATATATCCCGAAAAGAATGTTCGATGATGTTTTTCCAATTTTTGTTTTCATTGAACATACGTCTGATCCAACCCAACTTTAAAGATTGATTCAATCATGTTTAAACCACATTCTGAAATCGGTTTAATAATAATTTCTTATTTAATCTTGTCTCTATAGTTATTCCAAAGAAAATTAAAAAGATAAAGTTTCTAGAACTTTGATTATTTCGTTGGCAAAATGACAATATTTCAGCCTTAACGACTGCTCACATATTCATACATGTACATTTCAAACTAGATGGTA